GAGTTAATATGATCGGTGTCCACTGAGAAAATGGTTTCCGCTCTTCGACTTATGAATGCAGCTGCACCCGGTATCGGTCGCATTACTCCGAAAGATGTGGCCCGAATGAACACCATTTTGTCATTTCCATCTTAAACGATGGCATCTGCTTCTACCTGTGTCAGGTAAAGGTTGCTCAGATTGTTTTTGTACAAAAAGTTTCCAATTGCTCAATCTCCGAGCACATTAGACCCATAAGTGACCCTACTCCTCACTCGTCTACTGCAATGCATTCTCTTCGACTAATGGATTTCACCTTCTCCTGTGGACTGCCTGCACAAAGATGTCTGTTTCGAAGCCCGATTATTATTATTCACGAAATGCTTCGTTCGACTCACGTGAACCTAAGCTAGTCCTTCGTCTTTCACTTCACTTGTAAATTGCAGAGCATTTGCCTCCGTTTCCCACGGTTCTTTACTCTCAGCCGCCAATTTTTTTGGCACTCCATCATTGCTAGTGAGTTACCTCACTCCTTATTATGCCACCGTTGTTTCTGTTTTCATTGGGATCAGCATTCAAGCACGGAAGGATGTTAGGTAAGGGGACCCGCTCTTCATCATGAGTTTGGACGAGCCCCTTCATAAGCCTGCATCATGTCAGTTGTCTCGCCCTGCTGGCCCTATAGACTAGGTGACTTATGCTCAAGATGTATCATCTTTGCCCGGGACCGGGTGGCCATGGTGTGTCATCTTAGAGTGCTTCATGAGGACTTCCTTCTCATCGGCCCATCAAATAACTAACGGAAGGCGACTACTCCCAATATCGTCGAAGTTCGTACAAGAAAAACTACTGGCTTGAATGCATCTCCATTCTCGTGTTTATAGGTCAGCATATCATCGCTTTAATCGGACGAATCGTTCATGCATCTCGGCGTGCATCTTTAGAGCAAGCACGCTCTCGGCTTCAGGCCATCCGACATTCCCTGAAGCCATATCAGTGATTAGAAAGACCTCACAGCTTATTACCAATCCGTCACATTCACAGTCTCTTTGGCGATAGCGCATCGCTACACCTAAATGTGGATACATCAGTTCGCTTCCAAGAAGGCAAATGCCTGCGCCTGCCAAAGGAGTCACTAGGTGCCTACTTTCACTCTGCTATCGAAGGCTTGGATGTCGGGACACCATAGCTGTTCACTACGGTTCTCTTTCTTCGGAAATCTCGCCTGGAGCGCCATGTGTAACTAGTTGGGCGGTCCGCCATCCCTCCGTGGCTTCTGTCCATCGCGCTGCTGAAACTCCCGTCTTTGTGCGGTGACCCTGTCCTCGACAACGCTTTCGCACAAGATATTTGGAGAATGAAGTCCCTATTTGTTGCCGATGGTTCACCGCTTCGGGACGTTACCACCGCACCCTGAGCTCATCACTGGCTCAGACAACCGGCCAAGATCCTCCATCGGTTATTCATACGAGAGATTCAACTGTGTGTGAGGCTCTTCGGAGCTAGGAACAGCTCACTTCCCCCAGCATCCCTTTTTCACTGCCGTGGACCTTGTAGACAGTAGGAAACGCTGTCACACATCCTTTAGTCATGTATAGTCATACACGATGTTCATTGCAAAAGGTATAAGGATATCGCGAAACAGCTTGAGTGAAATCCGCCGTCGGGGTATTTATATTACACCAGAAAGCAGGATAGCCACTTTGAGCTCCTTAATCAAACCCGACATGCTCGCTGTCAAGTAGACTACGCTTACGTTTTAGAAGTTGCTAACTGTGACGCAGACCACATGGAACGAATTTACAAGCTGAAACTGAACAATTATGGTGTCAGATTTTATGGGGATGCGCTTTCCAGATACATGCGGTCACACTGTCCGCAATTGTCGAATATTATCCGTAATCCCTTGTACTTGCACAAGTGCGGATTTATTTTTATTCATTATTTATTTGTCTTGCTGCAACGAGACATCGCCAGTCACTGCGTCTCCACTATTCGTGAGAAACAGCGTGTATGACAAGTATATTTACGGAGGGTCCTCCCTGCAGCTTACACACAACACAGCGACCAACCTGGTGCACGGTTCCGCCCGGTTTGTAGAATTGTTTATTCTGGACTACTATCTCCGTATTCCGCCGGGACGTTGTCCTAGGTTAGCAATTTACTGTAAGCAACGAGTTTGGGCTGTGCACACAAATTGCCAAAGGTAAATGTTACTGGTCCATTTGTTGCAAGAGCTAGAACAGCCTTCTTGAACCTGAGACATATGTGGCGTTAGATGGTTTCTCAGTGTGGTAGGACGTGTACACAAGGCCACAGTGAGGGCCATTCGATTTTATGAGAGTGAGACCTGTCCTCTTCGATATGAGACGCCTTCAAGTTGCTGATCATCGCTGCCTGTGGAGCATTGTTGGTGTCGGAGAACACCAGCGTATCCGCAACGATGGTGTGTGCACGCGAGTACTAGGCGGTGATAAGCAGATCAATTTCTTCGAACAACAAGTAAGAGTGAATAAGTTGTGTTGACTTGGACACGTGCTACGTAATCCGAGAAGCTTGTTTTGTTTACCGGATGTAGGGTGGCGCAATGCGGGCAAAAGTTGACTTGGTTGGTTCTTCTTGACTTCCGGACTGGAGCCCACGCTAACCACCTAGCTTGAGATGTTACAGGACAAGGCTCGCAGACGACACCAGTGGCGCGTTTGCTGTCGTCTGGTTGGACTGCCTGTTTAACGTCTGTTTGGTGCTGATTTATCTGCGGAGTAATGGCTGATTATGACGCAGGGCAGTGTAGGCCACAGTCTCGCTGATGTCGCTCTATCTTTGTACGATATCCAGCTGTTTGTGACATTAGGTTGTTGACAAGGTGTAGGCGCCTTGACCCTGAATGTTTGCTTAGGGCATTAATGTTTTACGGCGGCGAAACCTCGGTTCAAACGGCAGACGTACCGTTGTTGATGATGATGCCGTGTTGAAACGAAACAAGGCTCATGGACCAGACTATCTTAATCCATCATTGCTGAAAAATAGAGGCTTTTGTGAACTGAACTCGTCGCTCTGTCCAACACTATTTGTGACCCTGAGGAAGTAGCTTCAAAGCAGAGGCGTCACTAGGGGTGTGTGGACCGCGTCGGTTGACATCATCACATAGGGTGACGACACAATGCAAAATATAGCTGCCGAGGATTTCAAAAAACGGGTATTAGTCCAACAAAATCCACGAAGATTTCACCCGGAAATCGTTAGAAACTGCATGGATTAGTTGACAAACTTTAAATGATAATCTAAAAAGTCCATGGGGTAAGCGGTCAGAGGATGACACCATGAGTTATTGCAATGAGTAACACCAACCCTAATGACGCCTCACCTCCAGACTGTCAATTATCGTGCCCATCTTGAAGAAGGGTCAGTGTACTTTGTGCGAAAATCATCGAAGAAGTAGCGTTATTCCCAAACTACTCATGAGTAGCATTCTTTGACGACTTATTGGTCTTCGTGACAAGCAAATTATTGACAGCCAGGTTGGCTTCCGCCCTGGCCGTGGTTGTATCGACCACATAATTGCACCTCGTCAATTTCTGTGTGGATGAATTGGTTAAGTTAGTGCGTGCCTTCTCCCTAGATGGCCGGCCCGTAACCTAAAGGTAACAAGCTTGCCTTGTAATCTGACGGCGCGGGTTCGAGCCTGCGCAGGAGCAGGGCGGACTTCGGATTATCCGTAGCCCAGGTGCGACCGGTGTTGGTTGCGTGGCAGCGAAGCGTTGGTACTGCGAACCGGCGTACTGCTGATGTCTGCCGTAGATGGGTACCTCACGAATGGTCACATCAGAAGTTAGAGGCCCTATCGGACATGTGGCGGTTGTGCAGTTGGTGGGGTTCCTGCACACAATCTTCTGTAACCAACTGCAAACCTGATTAATCTTACCCACTAGTTATAACCCTTTTTCTCTACCTTACGATTGCATTTTACACCATCTTCAGGAGATCGAGGCAGTCGCGTTTGCCAGTTGTCTCCAGAGAACGCTAACAGGCATTTCCTGAAACGGATGCTGGTCAAAAAAGGAGCATCCAAAAACCACTACATGCTTCAAGATTGTTATGCGTAAAATTGTACCTTCCTTAATCTGGAACGGTTTTCGGTATCAGAGAGCATAAGATCTATATTTTTTGAATTATTCGTGCATGAGTTGGGAATCCATGTAAGTAATGAGCTGAGCCATCGTGCGGTCAGCTTCTCACAGTCGAGAAGTACCCCTAGTATGATAACAGCACCATTGCGGAGGCCACATAGATCATTCGTAGTTTGGATGTCCCAACATTGTGGTTTCGGAAAATGGTACGTATATTTTCTCTTAAGAAAATTGTAATACGTTTGTGCAAGGCATAAAACACCTTGGCTAGATCAGGAGCGCCTTCATAGGTTTCCCTCTAAGGCTAAAGAGGATGGATTAGAGTACAATTGTTTGTGCCGAATCACCGAAGCTCCAACACCACAGAGCCCCCGCGAAAACCATATTTGGACGGGAAATACGTCTGCCAATTGGTGCAACAGACGAGAATTGTAGGTAGTCGGAAGAGTATCACCGGTAGGTTAATTGCGCGCTGAATGCAGTGCCATAATATCAGATCTAGTAGCATGTAGGCGAGGTAATATAGCGTGTGACTTACGGAGTTACTGTTGATGCGTTCAAACTCGGAAAACAAGCAGCTATGAAAGCGATGAATCGGGACACTCGTGGACCAAAAGATCGGATCAAGTATGAAGTAAGAGTTTTGGGAGCGGGAGTTTATGTGACCTGCGATCTGCAGTCAAAACGGCGTTGATTGCGAATTTCGTGCTAACGCACGAACGTGTCTACTTATCGGAGTTGGTTAATTAGTGAGAACAACGAGTTGCCGAAGCTGTCCGTTAGTCGCACTCGCTTACCTTAGTCTAGAAATATGCCAGTGAAACCAAATTGTAGCATATTGAATTGTTCTGCGTAATCATGTGGAAAAAGCGGAGAGAAAATTAGGAGTTTCTTCGGGAATCATGACCAAGGGGAATGGGAAATACAAGGAGTCCAAAAGTACACATCTTATCGGCGAAATTCGAAAGCAGCAGCAGAAATGATAAAAGAGACTTGTCTTAAGACAAGATCTAAAAGAGTTGAGCAGTAAGGAAAGGGGGGCAAACATAAGTAGTAGAAAACAGATAAAGCAGTCAAGGGGTAAAAAACTATATACAGCTGCACAAAATCAGTCGAGAACACGTATGAATCTCTACGCCGCTGCAAATCTGGTTAGCTAGCGTCGTTTTCGAGTCAGCTGACGAACTGACGCTCTTAGCTGACGACGAGTATTAACTACTTTGGAATCCGAGTCGAGTTGTTCAAGAGCGGCATCAATATCATCTTGGAAAAAGGAATCAGCTAACAGCTGAGTGGACTCAGCCAAAGGAGGGAGGCGTCTCGTCGCGACAGCTGATCGAGTGTGACGGACCTTGATTGACGAATTCTTGGTTTCATATGGGGTTTCATTGCAGATAGTACCACGAACTTGGCGAGATGTCGTTCTCGTTCTGGCTGAGCGGATAGGCTCCGAAGTGGATCTCACCATATCCTCCTTACTAGCATTGCTTCCGTCTCGATTTTCTTTTTCGCCATCGGAGTCGCTATCCGAGATGAACTGCGGAGCACGAACGGGAGAGGGTAACTTTTGTGGATTCTTTGACCGGGATTTTCTACGCCGAAGACATAGCTTCCTCTTGCGATGATATGATGAAATGATGGTGTTCTCAATAGTCCGTTCAGTATCAGAATTCGTCGCCTCCAAACGGCCAGAATGAGTGAGCGACCTTCCGAAAGCCCCAATAAGATTCGGAAAATGACTTGGCAGCGCGGATGCCGGAGTTGGTGAAACCGTCTGTGAACCCACGGAGGTGTTTTGGAACAACACCTTAAAGGACGACAGCAAAGGATTAATAAAAAGTTAAGTGTTGGAACAAAATACAAGAAATGAAGCAAAATTGGATTGAGGTTGATAAACACATGGGATTGCAAAATGGAGAAGTGATAGACCGACTAACTGTTAGAACAAACTGAACAATCTCCGAAGTAATGTAAAGAAGGCAGGATCAAACAAAATATCGCTTTGCCATCTTGAATTAGCGGCACATGCGTTGTAAAGAGGCGGTGCGTGCATAGTAAAATGAGCTAACAGACAGTGTACACTAAGTATCTATAGTCGATGTAATAGACCGACTGAAAACATACGCTTACCTGTATCGAAGCATCCGAGGATTGAAGCTTGGCAGGAGAAACCGTCTGAACAAAAATATCGACTGAGGCCTGAGGAAGAGTTGTCGTTTGAACAGAAACATGCCGCTCAGGTACCCGAGCTTTCAGTGCAGCCACCAGTTCTTGTTGTGTGCGTAAATCACTTTCTAGATCTTCTCTCAGGCTCCGTAATGCTTCGTTTCGTTCAGCGATGCATCTAGCTTCGGTGGCATGCAAAACAGCTTGGTGACTAGCGTTGGACTCTGCAAGCTCGCGACGTAGCTTACTCACCTCCTCGATTTGAGTGAACTGGGTAGAAGGGTTGGAAGGCATTGAGATGCATTCAGAAAATATAAAAATGATAAAATGAATAATAATGTTCAAATCAGACAGACTCTGTCGACCTCTGAGCTGCGTTATTTCACTGCAAAGGCTACAATGGCTTGGACGCGTGTTTTGCGTGTTAGCTCAGAGTTTGCTTTACTGTTCCTCCTTTGTGCGAACAGAAGTCGGCTGAAAGGTACAGCAAGGTGACCAGCGAATGACGTGGGTCCAAAGTATGAATGCCCTAAGATCAAATTAGACCGTGGTCGAGCAATCTCGACTCTCGGGCTTGGAGTGCAAGGACCACGAGCATGCATGGCAAGATGTCGTACTCAATGATGGTTCCGAGTATAACTCACGAATCTGAGATCCAATCAAAGTTCCTCTGCGATTAGGTGATTCATCAGTCACCCGAACCCTCTTGAATGAGAGATGATAACACAGTCAATGCTAGTGTGTAGAGCGGATCATGCCGTTTGATTATATGCCTACTCCAGCTGTATACCCACGATCTTCACAACGGATCACTCTTAAACGTGTTCGCGTGGGTCGCACCACACCCACCTGATTGCACACGTGTCATGATGTGTGTAAATATGGTGGCTCTGATCCCTGACTGTAAGTGCGCAATAGCCAATGCGGGTGCAGAAGTTCGCACCCCAATAGCTCAAATGAAGGAGTTCTCGCCGAAAAACATGCTGTCATCGCTGATCGGATGAGTGGAGTAGTAGTTGTTCATCATTATTCTGTACGATATCTAAAAGTTATAAACATTTTAGCTGTCGAGCCGTGAGACAACGCAATTAGGTAGTCATGGAGCAAACACAAAACTGTATCAGTCTATTTTTAGTGAGTAGTGTAAGGTGGGATTTAAAGTGAATATTCGATAGAGGCTCGTCACTGCCAAACTCAGCCCCCTTGTAGACGGAATCATTTCGTCGCGAGCAGATGCGTGATTTTGGCCAAACAAGCTAGCCCGAAGCGCCGCCAGGTTTCAGATAAACTTTACTGTTACTCCCGTGCAAACCCACTGGCAGGAAGTCCCGCCGTTGCGGGCAGCGGTTTCACCAGACACGAATTTTCATACTTGTGTTGTATTCTACGCGCAAAGATGTCCCGGTGCGTAAAATCGTGTGTACTGAAGACCACTGAAAAGTACAAGCGGAAAAAGCGGAGGAATGTAGAGTTTAGCCACTGTATCTCAGCGACAGATCAAACCACTTGAAGCTCGGGAAAATACTCGCCTTGCAAGATCAAGCTTGGCCGGCCAGAGGCGTTTTAACCTCGTAATTTTCCGCGCGCCTGAGTCCAGTGATTAAGTTCCAAAATGCGCTGCGGCGATGAAGTCGAGTTTTTGCAAAGCCTAATTGATAGACTCATAGACGTGAGTGAGGACGGGCTGAAAGTGAGGCAAATTACCCGTGTTGGAACGAAAGGTGATCAAGAAAGTCGGCCGTTGAGTCTGATTTTGATCTTGTCCCGCCTAAACAGGCTGAGAAGTTTAAAGATCCATGTTCGTCCAGAGCTGGATCCGGTGGATTAAAGACGGCAAAAGTTTGCCATCAGTGAACTGGAGAGACAAAATGGCGACAGGGAAACAACTCACCGTAACGTAAATTTGCGTTTCGGTCCCAAGATTTCAAGAGGTAAGAGAAACAGGTTGTTCACTTCAAGCACGCTCCGTAGTTCCCGCTGCGGTCTGCGTGGAGCCTTTATCAACAAGCACGGTTAACTATCGTTTCGTTGCTCCTGAGCGACCAGACATGGTGGGACTCGTACAAGCCTGGCTGAATTCTAAGGCGATAGCCCAGGAAATCGAACTCAGTGGCTACTCGTACTTCCGCCGCGCTAGACTATCGACTGTTCACCGCGGAGCCTTACGAAACATGAGGGTCTACACTGTGCGTGAGAATTGTGAGCGTCAACAGAAGCGACGGTAGCCTGTGTGAGCAGCTGTGGTGCCCGATCCACCTTAGACACAGTTACTCGTGGGTGCAGTTTATCGCAGTCCATTGGGATATTGTTTGGATTGGCTACCGCATCTGCAAAACCATGTGAGTTGTCACCATTTTCTACTCATGGGTGATTTCAGTTGCCCTCGAGTATGCTGGCCTAAAATGCAACTAATGCCGGGACGTGGTGCGGTCGAAGCATAGTTTGTAAACTTAGGACTTGAAAGTGGAGCAACGCAACACATGAAAACCGAGATGTATAAAGCTGCACTTAAATCCATCGTGCTTAGACTTGATGACGTTCAGATCCCGAAGCCCCTAGAATCACTCAGTGCTCATAGCCAGTGTTGATCATTCTTTACCGTCCGATGGAGCCAGCTTACAACTACTAGAAAACTAACTCTCACGGTCTAAGCCGAGCTGCGAGCTAAGTGAGTCGGTCTCTGTCACAAAACGCATCTGTGGATAACTGTTGGACTGTTACAGAAGAGACTGACATTACTGTGTTCTCGGTTGTGCCACTGAAGTGTCGGAAAGTTGGACAAGTCAAACCGCATTGGTTCGACAAGGAGTATTACAAAATGACTCGGCGGTGGCGCAAATTTCTTTTCTCTGACTCTCAAGGCGATTACGAGGCGTATAAGAAACAGCGAAATGTTTGCAACAGTACCAAAACGAGCAAGCACCGACATTCCGAGGAGCAACTTGCAATCGCCGCTCCGAAAAGAATCTTTGCTTATGTGAAGCGGCCCATCAAGCCAGCAGGTGATCTACTAGTGCTAGATGGCTCAGACGGACAGCCCATAACCCCCCAGCACTGAGGGTGCGTCAGCATTGGCGGCGCACTTCGCTTCTGTGTTTGCATGTGTACAAAAACGATTCATACGGCCGATGCTACTACCTTGGCCAACGGACACTGTCACTTAGTTATTTGGTTGGTACATCACCTACCTAATTATTTCGGACTACTGAGCAATGTATGCATGTTTATTCATAAAATGAGAATAGCTGCTTTGCTGCAGACCAGCATTGCCTGTGATACAAAGCAGATCGCGAAACGACTGAGCCAGAGCTAATTTATCCAGTGCACCTCGGCACGTTTGTGATCTGCCACAAATGAGCGCAATGTCGTCGGCAAACTCTAAGCTAAGAAGTTGGTCACCTGGGAGCAGCTCAATACCATATAAGTCTTGTCCGGAGAAGGTGGTTTCCATGACTTCGTCAATGGTGAAGTTAAAGAGGAAAGGTGATTAGACTGATACCTCTATGACTGCCGCGTTTCGAACAGGAGCCTCCCTTGAAAATTGGGACTATAACGGAGCAGCTCGAGTCTGTTGGGACAGTCCCCTGCCCCCATAGATTCACTAATAACTTAAGTAAATCGTCTAAAAGAGCACAGCTGAATGAAGTCCATCTGCTCCGGCGACCTTGTTCAATTTCAGCCATCTTATCCCGCGTTCGATTCCTGCACGTGAGGGTAGATCCAGAGTGACGACCCAGGGATTAAGGCGATTAATAGCCATTGGAGAAGCCGGCAACTTTGACTGATTAAACCGTTTTCCAAAGTGTTCGGCCCAACTCCTCAAGCAATTTGACAAGCCGTGGATCAGCTGTCAATATGGTCTCGCTAACACCTGGTCTCCTGCTGCCCGTTTCTCGTACAGATGGAATAACTTCCGATGGTTGCCAAGGGCAGCGGCTGTCTGCATCTCAGATGCAGGAGGATACCACAACGATTCGCGGTCTCTCTTCAGGTTAGGACGCAGTTTCGCCCCGAGATCTTTGCGAGTCTCCTTCGATTCGTTTCTGGCCGAAACACGTCGGCGAGCGTCTATAAGTTCCAGAGACTGCGTAGAGACCTAATGTCCGGGTTGGCGATTTGGTTTGCCACATGAAGACATGCCTGCTGCTAATAACGTCTAGCGGATATGCGATCAGTGATCTTCAACTATGTTCATTGAGCTCTTACTCAAAGCGGATGCCAGTGCACTTTGCTACGTATTCAGAACAAAGTGGCTTAACCAAACTCGTGGACAAACAGATATGTTGTGTTTGAGAAATTAAAAGCAGTTAGTTCCCTTTAGCAATTTGAACAATGCAGTAAGAAGAGGAAAGCTGGTAGATGCATGCATTTCGTAGTGTCTGGTCAGTACCATTAACAATAACCGATATGCGACTATAAATAAGCCCATCCAAGTCGGTATTAATAAAGCTGGGGAAGGGTTGCGAAGGTCCAATTTACACGACTGGCGGCCAAATGCTACATCCCACACCTTCCGTTAAAGACCTAGGTGTACTCTGGCTCCGCGATTTGAAGTCTGTTGACTATATCGTAACGGACTACGCATGCTTTGGGCGATCGAACGCAACTTCTGTACAGATATGTGAACAGCCTCCGGAATGTGAAACGTGGTGTTCCCCACACTAATATCTGCGGCTGGATGTGTTCAAACCGCTGAGGATGCAGCCGTTCTACGGCTACAATATGCCCCAATTTTCCGATGTGCTCCCACCAGTTGTAACATACTTGTCCCATTCTCCCAGATGCCAGTATTTACACACGTCACGTTTAGTTAAGCAACCATTTTGAGGAAGCTGCTGTCGTTGCGCACCCATAGTTCCCCCGGAGTTGACAACATTCCCTCGAAAACACTGCAGGTGGCAACTACGAGGAAAGCTGAACCACTAAGGAGATTTTTCCAAAGACGCTTGGACGAACAGCAGGTCCCTAACATGTGGAAGCAAGGCATCACTACCCCGATTTTCAAAAGTGGTAGCCGTTCAGAGCCAGTCAACTATCGCCCAGTGACTCTCCTCCCGGTGCTCTCTAAGGTGATGGAATCGATCATAGCTGAGGCTGTAATGGGCTACTTCGAAAGGTCTAAGATCATAGCACCGGAGCAACACGGATTTCGTCAGCATCCGTCATGTACTACCAACCTACTGCTTGCCCGTGGCAGTTGGAGGGAGACAGCCGGCATTGATGTCATCTACCTAGAGTTTCCAAAGCATTCGACCGCATAGATCACCGCA